AAACCCCAAATGTATTTATGATACACACTACATATTCTAATAACAGAATTTTGCTTGCTTTCTTATTCATTTGTAGCATTTGGCTGATAGCTTGGAATTCTTGGCTACCTGGAAAAGCATGTGGTGGGATAAATTTGTATCTTATTCCAGTTTTTCCCTCAGAGCAGAAATCCTAAATATTCTCCTTTATCCCTGAGATTTCTTACAAGAGATATGCAATTGCCTAACAGAAAAAAAATGTAGCTGGCTTAAAAATATTTTATACTGATTGAAATCACAGTCATTGCAAGAGCCTAATGCTGCCTAATTTGAAGAGAGAGTGTTTATTATAATTCAAAGTGGGAGGGGAATGTCGTTCCTTTAAGACTCATTAATCTTCCATGGCTGGCTGCACATCTTAAAGTCATCTAGGACAGCCAGAGGCTTAACCATATGAAGGCTGATTATGGTAAATGGTTCAAGGGACTCTTATGCCACCCTTCAGCATGAAGGACAATAGAAGCCTACTGCATTGAAGGCAACAGACTCCTATGGCAGTCTATTCTTCTGTCTGTTTTGTGACTTAAGAGATGCCATCTTCTGTGTCCAGCATGAACAGTAACAACAACTGAGAGGTTGCGCAGGGATTCTGAGATTTGTCCGCACAGTGACAATGTTTCATATTTTTCAAAATATAGGTCGTTCCATGACCACAAGGTTTCTGAATTGCCTGGAGACTCTGCCATCTTCATTACACAACACACTGCACATGGCCTTGCTTTCTGCACAAGCTCCAGGATTAGATGTGGGATCTTCCCAGAGCCCAGTGAACTTTGTTTCAAGCCAATTCCATCCTGAGGATCATGAGGCAGTTCCCTTGGACATGCTCCAGGTATCCCACAAATGATGACAAGCGAGGTGCAGCATGAAAAATAGGAAGGTCTGCATCTAAGAAATTCTCCCTGAACTCGAATACACAAACAAAAAACTCCCCCATAGACATTGTGAATGGACCTCTGGGAGTCTTTGCAACACACAGCAGTATCTGATGTATATGCCAGGTTGTTGGTCTGCTTTAGGCAAAGTTGGGAGATACTCTGGAGTTTGCTTGAAATGCCAAAGCATCTTGGGGCCTGGGAGAAGTTTGGACAGTTTGATCGGGTTCAATTCAAGTCAACTCAATCCACTGTCCAGACAGACACTCCCTTTTTCTCTGTACTCATTAGGAAAAAAGGAAGAACTGTTCCTATTTTTCCACGACTGACCACAGAGATTCATCCAAGCACCTGGCCATCACCTGTCACATCTGTGATGTGAGAACAGGTTACCCACCTGATCAGCATGAAAGAGGAGAGATTGACCTATCCTTACGGGTTGCACAGACACCCAGTTTTGATATCAGCAAGAGGTGAGCTTGGCAGCCAGGTTTTTGTATAATGTACATGACCCATGGCTCTACCTGATGAAATTCTGGGAGAATATTTAGTATTCTCAGCCAGAGAACTCCTCTAGTACCTCTGATCCCTGGACCCTACAGTATGTTGCCAGATGAAATCACAGTGTGGTTGCATCTGGCAACATACTGTAAAGTCCCTGTATGAAAAAGGGACCTTATTGAATGGGCCTAGTTGAAGATCTTTGCTCTGAAATGAAAATTCAAAGTTGCTGACTTTATTCCTCTTCCAAATGTCTTCTAATAAATTTCCTCCATGTTTTAAGCTTCCAATCACATCTCTGCCACCGGAACTTTGCAGTTGTAACTCTAAATGCAGCTCAACTGGCCAACCGCACATAATGAAAAGTACACAGTTCTACCCACACTGTGCCAAGCAACACCATTTAAAAAATCCAGTGCTTCTCCATATGTTTTGGCATAACCGAGGCCCCTTCTACACTGCCCTATATCCCAGGATCTGATTATCTGATTTGAAATGGATCATATGAGTCTACACTGCTATATAATCCACTTCAAAGCAGTTAATCTGGATTTTACATGGCAGTGTAGAAGGGGTCTGAGTTATCGCAATCACAAATTGAGTTGAAACCTAGGCTTCTTTGAATGCCATGGGCTTCTTCACATGCCATGGGCCTTCAGATCCATTTAGCATGGCTTTTGAATAGTCAGATTGTGGGATGCATAGCAGGTTCGTGTCAATTTCATTCTAGAGAGAGGTCTTTATCACAGTCTGGAAACAGATGGTCAGTATGGTGCAGAAAGAGGGGAAAAGTTCTGACATGAAACTGGCACGTGTCCTTTCTGAAATTTACGGCTGGGATTATCTATAGCAGACTAGGATACTTCCTTTCACCCCGAACAGTGGTTAATTTAAGAAGTGAGAATTGCCAACATACAACTTCTGCTCCTGGAATTCATGACATTCACGTGTGCATGGGTATGTGTGTGTAGGTGGCCTCAAGGTGCCTGCCAATTTAGATAGATTTCACAGGGTTTTCTTAGGCAAAAAATACTTGGAGGTGGTTTTGCCAGTTCCTTCCTCTGCAATATAGCCTACAGCACCTGGTATTCATTGGTGGCCTTCCATTCAAGGATTAATCAGAACTGACCCTGCTTTGTTTCCAAGATCAGACAAGATCTGGTGTTTTTAGGGTATTTAGGCCCTGTAAGCCCTGATTCTGAATCCTAAGTAGACTGAAAAGAGGTAAAACTAATGAGTAGAATCATAGAATCATAGAGTTGGAAAAGACCTCATGGGCCATCCAGTCCAACCCCCTGCCAAGAAGCAGGAAAATCGCATTCAAAACACCCCCGACAGATGGCCATCCAGCCTCTGTTTAAAAGCTTCCAAAGAACGAGCCTCTACCACACTCCGGGGCAGAGAGTTCCACTGCTGAACAGCTCTCACAGTCAGGAAGTTCTTCCTAATCTTCAGATGGAATCTCCTTTCTTGTAGCTTGAAGCTATTGTTCAGCGTCCTAGTTTCCAGGGCAGCTTACTCCCTCCTCCCTATGACTTCCTCTCACATATTTATACATGGTGATCATGTCTCCTCTCAGCCTTCTCTTCTTCAGGCTAAACATGCCCAGCTCTTAAAGCTGCTCCTCATAGGTCTTATTCTCCAGACCCTTGATCATTTTAGTCACCCTCCTCTGGACACATTCCAGCTTGCTGATATCTCTCTTCAATTGTGGTGTCCAGAATTAGACACAATATTCCAGATGTGGTCTAACCAAGGCAGAATAGAGGGTAGCATGACTTCCCTGGATCTAGACACTAGTTAAAGCAGAACACATACTCCACATGTTCAAAGACACTTTGCCTTTTCAAAGCTATTTCACAAATTCTAATCAGCCCATGAGATAATGAAAACAATTTCTGGAACTGAACCTGAGCTCAAGCACAAGTTAAGCCCTATTGAAACCCAGTGGCTGTGTGCAATAGCAATGGGAAAATTAATTCCTCCTTGAGTTTTCTTTTAACAGAGGGGAATATAAGACGTGAAAGGATGACAAATAACCTCGACTGATACCTGCTCAAAGAAAATCTACCATCATTTTAATCCACTTGACTTGTGGTTGCCTTGAACATAAAACATTCATTTAAAACCCAACAGCCTGGAGTGTCTCTGGTTTAACTCTCTCATCCGACAAGCTCCGTGGGCTGACTTGTGGAATACTTGCCCTGGGCTCACACATTATTTCCCTTTGCAGCCACCAGGGCTCTTTTCAGTATTGGAAAGGATCCCGCTGCAGGGTTAGCAGCAAGGCTGGATTTGTTGCCACAGCAACAGAGAAAAGCAGGGTGGAACCTGGCTACCGAGCAGACTTTCAGGTGGATGGATATGAGGGAAGAAGATGCAAATATGTGTATGTTATCAACTGGAGGGCAGAAAGGATTGCTGAGGGGATATCACCGACTGGGACACAACGGAAAGAGGAGAAGCATGCCAGGAAAGGGCCTTTTCTCCAGTACATTTAGAGGTGAACAGGGAGAAGGGAATGAAATTTTTGGGGGAAGGGGACCTCCACCTGAAGTTTAGGAACAAAAGTACTTCATGGACAAAATGCAAGGCTAGGTTTGCTGAACCATTTTGCCATTCAAGAAAATACCATCACACCTTCCTTAAAATCTATGGTGCTGAGATTACACTTTGAATTCTGTGTATAGGTTGCTACAAATCAAAATGAATACCACAACATTAGAAAAAGATGCAGAAAAGAACAGTCAAAATGGTCAAATTCCCCTCTAGCATGAAATTATGTTTAGAGCTTTTTTAAATTTAGGAAAAATGGTGAAAATGAAAGGACATGATTCATCTTTATGAAGGAGGTCAGTTGCTACATTAGCAGAACAATATGTGTGAAAAGGCTATGAGTCAGTGGAAAGGAGCAGGAATTCTGCTGGCTGGATCTCTGCGATGAATTACCAGCTGTCCCCCAACCAATATTTAATAGTCCCCATATGTTTGCAGGTGATTTTCTCTGCCACCATGAAGTCGGGGAAACATCCTGTCAAATACAATAGCGCTTGCATACACAGGATTTCTCTGCAGCTCCCGGATTATACATCAGAATGCACATTCCACACTCCGTAACGTAGACACAGCCGTGCCAATTTTTAGCTCTCCCTCACCCCAACTATATATAGCCAGCTATATTTAGCACCCACCAGGCTAGCCTATATATTTGTAATGTTCAGCTGCTTATTCACCTCTTGTCGCTCAGATTCTTAAACCCAGTGTACCAATCTCCTAAGAGCCAGTCCTTTACACTGACATTCCTACAGCAAGCTCTGCTTTTATCTTGTAATGTGGAAACAATAAGATGCAGCCCCCCTCCACAGATCTCTGGTTCAAATAGTCCCTTTGTTACACCATCCCATAAGCTCCTGCTATCCTTTGTAATGAGAGACACCACATGAGTGGGCACTGTGTAGCATTTATTCAATTACAGAGAAACAATAGCGCTCTGGATGTCTTCCTTGAATAGAAGGCATTGGTTTGACATCATAAGAACAATTTGATGGAATGCAGCTTAAAAGTATCTGTCTGTGCCGGACTCACCTCCAGAACCCGGCCGCTGATATACCGGTTGCAGGTCTCACATTTAATGCCAAATTGGGCATGATAGTCAGACTCACAGTATGGAATGCCATCCCTGTTGGGGGAAAAGAACAGTCAAGATATAGAATAGGGAAAAGGGCAGCACAGCATCTTCCCCCTTCTCCCCAAGTTTATGTTGTTTTTCACTGTACTGTAAGTGGATGATAAGTCACCTGTGCTAAAGTGTAGGGCAGCAGGGGAAATCTGCTTTCACAGTGCTTCTCTTTGCTGGCACTTTAAGGAGAATCCACTTACTTGCTCTGTGTTGAGAAAACAGAATAAGTTTTTTTTCTTAGTGTCAGGAGAGACTTGAGAAACTGCAAGTCACTTCTGGTGTGAGAGAATTGGCTGTCTGCAAGGACGTTGCCCAAGGGACGCCCGGATGTTTTGATATTTTAACATCCTTTTGTGAGGCTTCTCTCATGTCTCCGCATGGGGAGCTGGAGCTGACAGAGGGAGCTCAAACCGCTCTATTCGATCCGCTGACCTATCAGTTAGCAATCCTGCCAGCACATAGGTTTAACTCATTGTGCCACTGGGGCAAGTGGATTCACCTTACATCCAGGGAGCAACACAAGGACTGAATTTACATTATTCCACCCACCTCAGCTTTCCCATTTTTGTTTCTCCTCTCAGACCATGCCCACACCTATAAAACCCTTCATTACTTGTTCAACACAGGCAGAGAACTGTATTTAACAGAATTCATCTTTTTGCTCCAGTACTTCCAGCAAGAGGGGTATTTCAAGAATGTTAAAATGTCTTGGAGCCACACAGATAATTCTGTCCACACGCAGATTGTATGTGTGTCTGTGTGCCTTTGAGTTAGTTGTCAACATATGGCAAACTCATCAGTTTGACAGGATATTCCTAGACAAGGAGTATTCAGAGATGGTTTTGCCACTTTCTTCCCCTAGTTAGTTGGCGACTTTAGTCCAGTATGATCTAGTGTATAGAACATTGGACTATAACTCTGGAGACAAGGGTTTGAATTCCTGGTCAGCCACTGAAACCGACTAAATGAACTTGGGGAAGTTGCACTCTTTCAGTCTAAGAGAAAAACAAGGCAAATCCTCACTACACAGATCTTGTGAAAAGGTCACTTTAGAGTTGTAAGTTGGAAATGACTTGATCTCACATAACAGTTCTTTAATAGCTCTCATCACATGCCTGGATATTTAGTCAGAGCCTTTATGATTCCAGCATTTATTTATTTATTTTATTTATACCCTGCTGTATCTCACCCCAAAGGGGACTCAGAGCAGCTTCCAATTTTGGCAAATATTCAATGCCATAATTATACAAAAATCAAACAAAACATAACACAATTAACTATTAAAAACAAACAAACATATAAAATACAAATTAAAACCAATTAAGACATAGAAAACACACACACACACACACACACATTAAAAAACATAGCACCAATCCCAAAATTGTTGTCCAGGTTGTTTCTTATGTCGGTTCCATGAGTCTACTGAACTTTAATTTTTCTACTTGACAAATGCCTGCTTCCATAGTCAAGATTTTACTTTTTTTTGAAAGACCAGGAAGGAGTAGGCCTATCTGATGCCACTGGGGAGGGAGTTCAACAGCCAAGGGGTCACCACCAAGAAGGCCCTTTCTCTCATCCCCACCAATAGCACCTCTGAAGGGGGTAACACCGAGAGCAGGGCCTCTCCAGCAGATCTCAATGCTCAAATTGGTTCATAGAGGGAAATACGTTTGAACAGGTAAACTAGGCCGGAGCCATTTAGGGTTTTATAGGCTGAAGCCAGCACTTTGAATTGTGCTTTGTAGCAGACTGGAAGCCAGTGGAGCTGACGTAACAGGGGGGTTGTATGCTCCCTGTATGCTGTTCCGGTGAGCAACCTGGTTGCTGCCTGCTGGACTACTTGAAGCTTTGGGCTGTCTTCAAAGGCAACAATTTCTTGCTGACAGTTTCAAGATGCTGATCATGACTGATGGTAGATATTTTAGTTTTGGGATGGAAGGGGGACACTATTCAATTTTAAATTAAAGTATTACCACATAAGGGGTATAATTACTATTGCCTGCTAATGTGAATCTGCCCATAGACTGCTTGGGCCCATTTAGATCAGAATGCAGCTGCCTGAGGAAGACTGCTCTTTATGGGTCTGGAACTGTGTCAGGGACAGAGTAATAAGTGAGCTCTTTGAGAAAGCCTTTCCTAGCTCTTGCTCTCACCTGCTCTCAGCCAAATTTGGGTGGATCAGAGAATTGAACAGAATGGATAAATACCTATGACATGATGAAGAAGAATTAGACCCAGCACTGTGAATATCCAAGGGCAGGACAAAGCTATGACCCACTTTAGCCCAATGGAAGGCCTCTGACGCAGCCTTGAATGAGGACTGACGTGTTATTCAGAGGAAGAAGCATGCCGGGTTTGAATTAACAAAGGACATGAAAAGAAGCAGGCATGCATTAAATAGTCAGTATGCTTTTTGATTAGTGGCAAGTCTAAACGAGTTTACAGCCATTAATATACATTGATAACTGAGAGAAAAATAGCAGATATTTAAAATGGTGCAACTGCTGTTCAGCAAGGATGGCAAACTACTAAAAGGTCACAATGGAAAGGCAAAACTGGACAATATGCTCCCATGCATCAGGAAATACCTTGGAATTTGGGTTGCAAATCAAGACTGCTAAGGAGTTAGTCAGGAACTACCTACTGTAGTTAGTTAACCTAAATGAGGTCAAATATGAGGAACCAAACTGTATCCTCAAATACTGAAGGAGGTTAATGACATAGTTGCATAACCACTTGCCATATTTTTTTTTAGAAATTTTGGAGAAAAAGTTGAGGTGCCATAAGACTGGAGATTATCAAGCATTATTTCTCTTAAAAGAAGACAAAAATTAAGATCCAAGGAAGTGGAGGTCAGTCAGCCTGACTTCAGACCAGAAAAAAATACTAGAACAGATAGCACAGGAGTCCATCTGCAAGTATCTTGATGACAATGGCATGATTAGTAGGAATCAGCCTGACTTTTTCAGTAACAAATACTGTCAAACTAACCTTATATCTTTTTATTAAGTCTCTAGTTTAGTAGATGGTGGGAATGCTGTAGATCCCATTTATCTGGTTTTTAGCAAAACATTCGAAAAGGTCCTTCATGATACTTTGTTTAGTAAAGTGATGAAATACAGAATACAGGCAGTCCCGAAGTTATAAACAAGCTAGGTTCTGTAAATTTGTTCTTAAGTTGAGTATGTATGTAAGTTGGAACAGGTGTAACTCCAGCCAAAAACATATACTTTTTAGCTCTTGATAGCATAGGAAAGGGTTAATACCCCTGTGGGGTTTGTTTTCCTGTCTTTTCTCCTGTTCAAAAGATTTCACCTCAATTTCTGTACCTTTGATAATTGGATTTTGAAAAAAAAGGCTTGTTGTGGAAACAAGGATTGGTGAGAAAACTTCAATGGAGACACCTTTTCCTCAAGATAACTCTTCCAGGGGTGAATTTCCCATCCTAGGGGTAGAAGTTTTCTCATTTCCTGCTGAGCATGTTCAACTTGTTAAGTGGAAAACTGAAGAGTGACATGATCATACTCTTTAAATACCTCAAGGGGTGCCATAAAGAAGAAGTTTTTCTCTGTTGACTCAAAGAGTAGAAGTAGGTCTAATAAGTTACAGGAGGGTGGATTCTGATTGAACATTAGAAGCAACTTCTTGATACTGAAAGTGTTTCAGCAATGGAGCCAACTACCTAGAGTAGTAATAAGGTCTCCTTCTCTGGATGTCTTTAAAAAGAGTCTGGATGATTTAGCTGGAGATCTTGCATTGAACATAGAGCTGGACCTGATAGCCTATTGGGCGGGGGGCGGGGGGTGAGGCCTTTTCCAATTCCATGTTTATATGATTTGTGGTGTTACTCTTTTTAGCTAAGGTCCTAACATATTCTCAATCTCCATTCCCTGGAGTTTCTCTGAATCCTATTTTCCCAAAAGGAAATTAAACCACGTTTTCATGGCCACATCTCCTGTAATGTAGGCATGTGTTTATGTTTTTCCCTTAATGTATATTCTTTATACAGAGTCTATGCTTCTAAGTTTCCAGGTCTTTGTAGCCATTCCTTTTGCATACATTGAACAGAGGACTAGAACATGATGTCAGCTACACTTCTTTTCAGAAAAATGCTGAATACTTACTTCTTTATTAAGTCAAACAACTGAAGGAAATAGTGCTTTTTTCAAATGAGCATAAGGGACCTGAAATATTCCCTTGGTAGCAAAGACCTCCTGAGGATTACAGCATGGACAGACAAAATGTAACTACCCAGATGTTGTTGGACTGAAATTCCCATGAGCTCTAATCAGTATGTTGCTGGACTGAATCAGCAGTCCAGCAACATCATGAGAAACATTTTGTTCTGAACTTCAAGTTTCATCTTTCAACTACAGCTGGAATGGAAAACTTCAATAGGTTAAAGGAGAATCTTTTGCCACCAGGAACCATAAACAACAAAATGAATAACCAAAAGTGTTCTAGATTTTGTTTTTGTTTGGTTTTTTTTTGGGGGGGGGGGGGGGGGAGCGGAGAGATAGAAAAAAAAATCTGCTTCTGGTTTTGAAAAAAGTGGCACTTCTTAAGTCAAACAATAGCATTGTAGCATTGTTTCCTGTAATTTATTTAAAACCTGAATCAATGTCCCTAGACACTTCCAGAAAAGGCAATTCATCCTCTTTTTGCCAGAAAAATGCAGTTTGAGAGGATGTTGGGAGGAGTTATGAGTATCCCCACCCCCCAAAATAAACCCGCTGTGGGGGAATGCATTTGGCCTCAGGGTTACACTTTGCCAGTTTCTGATCTACATAATCACTTATAGCATCTCTACACAGATAGGATGAGAGACAGTGTATGTGACTCATGCTTCTTTTGTGATATGTGAAATTAGGCTTGTATTATTTTCCCACTTTGAAATGCATGCATTCCAGATGAATGGGGAACCCACTGATCTCAGCATACAAAACACAGTTTACCACTTTGCACATTACCCAAGGCGTGCAAACAAAAGGGTATGAATAATATGTGCCTTCATTTTTCCCTATTGGTTTGTAATGTGCAAAGTTGCACTAGGAGTACTGGATGATTTCACTTGAAATTTTCCAAGGGAACAGTTCAAACACCTAGCATTGAAGCAAACTCCAACCCCATTCAGCATATATATCTGGGTTGTGGGGATAAAAGGAAGAGATGACACTTACTTGCTAATGTATTCTCCAGTCAGGACGACTCCACAGGTTTGGCACTTGAAGCAGCTGACATGCCACTGTTTCTCTAAAGCCAGGAGGGATTGCCCTTGCTTGATCTCCTCCTTGCAACCTGCACATTCTAAAAAACAAGAAAAAACACCCAGAATTACTAATACAACAGCAGCAATGGCATCAGCATCCTTGATTGTTTTAGAGACCTTTATGAATTCCTACCCAAAAGTGGAATAATGACCCCATGGCTTAGCATCAGCAATGGCTGGTCTCCACAAGTTTCCAGGAAAGAAAGAAACAACTGCAGCCAATGGGAAAACATAGGGCTCCAGTCTCTTGCACACTGGGAAAAAACCTGCCAGTCAAACAGCTTAAGAGGCAGTGCTATGGGAACAACTTGGAAAGGATTGGGGAATTAGGGGCTCTCAGATATTCTTGGGCAGCAGATCCTATAATTCTTCCTGACTGATTGTGCTAAATAGGGCTGATGGAAGCTGAGGTTCAGCAATATATGTAGAACCACACTCTCCACAGCCATGACCTTGAATGTTGTTCTTTGGCATCTGTCTTCTAAGACCAATATTGGTAGTGCCAGTGTAAGCAATTTTTCTGTCTGTGGATTGCAGCAAGAATAGCAATATGTGATTGCAGAAATAATAGCAATAACTGGAGTGCTGAAGCCCAGTGGTGCATTTAAGACAATCACTAGAAAGTCCATGGTAGGTCACCATCCAGATTGTGACTGTAAGTGGATGTGTAGACTTCAGAAGTCACTACTTGGATTAGCAACAGGTTATGTCATGAAAGATAGCACAAAATGTTTCTCAGTAACTGAAAGATATCCACTCCCCCTGTTATCCTACGACTCCACACTGTGGACATTACACCTAGCTATAACCTGAACTGAGTGTCCAGGATGGAGACTTTGTATTAGGACACGCTTGTTGAGCCTGATATGATTTTGGATATTTTACTATTGACAAGCAGTGAGTGCAAAGAACTACAGCAATCCTTCTAGATGCCCACTATCATCTCTTCCTCGTTTATATTGGTAATTTAACCCTTGATCCAATTATTTGGACTTGATCTGGTGAGACTGTAACAGAAGCCTATTCACTCTGCAAACCCAAACCAAAACTCAGTTTTTAAAATCATGTCAGAAACGAATTGAGAATATACTGCAAGTCGCTTCTGGTGTAAAATAATTGACTGTCTGCAAGGACGTTGCCCCGGGGATGCCAAGATGTGTCCCAAAACTCAATGAAATTTCAGTACAGATGTATTGAGAAGGGGAAAAAACCTTAATGTGTTTATCGAATTCCTGTATACCAGAGTTTGTGCAGGGGTGCCTTAGGTCATTCTGTCCAATGTCAGTGCTATATTGAACTATTTTGATTATGGATATAGACCACAGGGTGGTGCTGGCAGCCTCCATCTGTGCTTGGTCTCTCACTGGTAAATGTCAAATGGCAGAATATTTTTGGATATAAACTAGTCTTGGAAAAGCTGTGCCATAACTCCTGTCTAGCTTGGCTATGTTTGGTGCTTGTGTTTGTGTTAGTTTGTGTGGTATTCACTGGCCATTTCCATTGCTGCACACTAGCTTGGAAGCCATGACCTTTGTAGCATTCTGACTCTGGATCTTTCTTTGGGTGTTGAGAATCTTCTAGATTTTCAAGGAATTTCTTTGACGGAAAGGCAGGAAACAGCCATACCATTGCTTTGAAGAGTTATTTCAGGCCTTCCCTCTCACAGTAAAAACAGAAAATGCAATAAAAATGTTTTGCAGATTTTGGTAAATGTTCTCAATTTAGAAATACCCACTGACACTGTGTTTTAGCTTGACACACCTACATGTGCTGGATCGCTGACTGAAAATACAAATTAGGTCTGAATCTGCATATTTTTTGGTCGGATTTATATTCTCCCCTGTCACCTATATGTTAAACCTCCCCCAGGTCTGCTGGTCATCCTTTTAGTACATTCCATTACTTGCATGGCTTAGGAAGACCTCAAACCTTGAATATAGACATAGATATAGCATTCAAGGCATCAGCATTAAAGATATACAGATAAATAGCTATATCTAGGAGAGCAATGTCCAGTCTCGATAAAATAGTGAAGAGTAGAGACATCAGACTGGCAACAAAGATCCGCCTAGTCAAAGCCATGGTATTCCCTGTAGTAACCTACGGATGTGAGAGCTGGACCTTAGGGAAGGCTGAGCGAAGGAAGATCGATGCTTTTGAGCTGTGGTGTTGGAGGAAAGTTCTGAGAGTGCCTTGGACTGCGAGAAGATCCAACCAGGCCATCCTCCAGGAAATAAAGCCCGACTGCTCACTGGAGGGAAAGATACTAGACACAAAGTTGAAGTACTTTGGCCACATCATGAGGAGACAGGAAAGCCTAGAGAAGACAATTATGCTGGGGAAAGTGGAAGGCAAAAGGAAGAGGGGCCGACCAAGGGCAAGATGGATGGATGGCATCCTTGAAGTGACTGGACTGACCTTGAGGGAGCTGTGGGTGGTAACGGCCGACAGGGAGCTCTGGCGTAGGCTGGTCCATGAGGTCACGAAGAGTCGGAGACGACTGAACGAATGAACAACAACAACAAATAGAGAAAAAGAGGCTGGGACATTATAATCCTGGGTTTGCACTATAACCAAAGATTGTTTCTGCTTCTTTTTCTGAAATCGTTGCTTGATCTCATAAGATGCCAATTTAGATGCAAACACATTACAGGCTGTGACTTAGAAAGGTGCAAATAAAGCAGGCAGAAAGATGGTGTCCTTCACCGATTCACATCCTGAACGCGCTTACAGCTGGTTATGAATAATCCATGGTGCTCTGAAGTAACCTGAGCTGTGCAGCCAAAGAGAGGAATATATCTAGTAGTGAATTTCTAGGGAGGATGTGCTTTCCTGGTAATTTTAAGCATAAGAGCACAAGGGATGGAAAGAGGTGCCCAAAACCATATAGTGATCTGTGTATTGTTCCATCCGGAGGAAATTAGTTAGAGTGAGAACCTTTGTTCCGATTCAGTAGGTGGGGTATTATATGCCCAAATGACTGCACCTGACTTTTGTGTTTGCAGAAGCAGGAAAACTTGGCTAAGAATTATAATTACGAAAAGTCTTTTTCATTTATGAAACTGTGTGTTATTAGTCTAAGCTCTCTCAGTGTGATAAAATTCAGAATGCACAATATGGACATAGAAGACATGCCTTAACAGAGCAATGGTGTTGCCTTAAGTGCTGAGTATTACATTTTATTACACATCACCTTGGTGTAACAGGTAACTCGAGAATGCAGATTAGCCTTAGAGACTTGGATGCCTGAGGCACAATATACACATGGGATTCCCATCCTCCTGGTTAATTAATATGGAACACAGCCCATGGGGAAGCTCTCCTCTACAAGCCCCAATGGAAGAATTACTGAGAATTCACGCAAGTCCTGTTTATTCTGCACAGGTTTGGTGTTGCCCTGCAGACAGCACTCAAATCTGTTGAGTATGATAAGTAGAACCATATTCAAGAGGCAATTTCACCACTCTCCAAAGTTGGAAATATTGAAATGTTTGAAATTCAAATCAGTTTTGTCAACCAATTTTTTTTTTAAAAAAACAAAACAAACAAGGGTCAAAGATCTGATGCAACGTAATACAATATTCTGTTCTATCATCACACAACTCAACATGGGATATTGTAGCAAGGCTTTGGGAAACTAGCACAAGGGTTTCCTAGAGTAGGTATGATGTGAATCTGGAGCTAATAAAAAGGACATTAATGAATGCCTGAAGGAGGTAATGGGCTGGTTTAAGAAAAACAAATTGAAGCTGAATCCTGATAAGACAGAGGAGGTTGCCATTAAGGATCCTAACCTGGGGATGGAGGTCTTTTAATCATTTCTTGATGGGCTATACACCCCATGAAAGACTATGTTCACAGTTTGGTAGTGTCCTGGATCTGTCTCTCCAAATGTCAGTCCAGATAGATGTGATGGTCAAGAATGCTTACTACCAGCTTCAGCTGATACACCAGCTGAACCCCCTTCCTAGAATTGACAGACCTAAAGATGTAATGCATGTGCTGCTAACCTCATGGTTCGACTTCTGCAATGTTTTTTACATTGGGCCATCTCTGTACCAAGTTTGGAAATGCAAATTAGTTCAAAACATGGAAGATAAATTGGTTACAGGAGCATCCAGGAGTGGGCATATTACACCCATATTAAAGTCCACTGGTTGCCATCTAGATTCTGGGCAAAGTGTTGGTGATAACTTTTAAAGTCCTGCATTGTTTGGGTCTAGGTTACCTAAAGGATTGCCTTCCACCGTAAAATCCACCCTGGAAATTTAGACCCTTTGGGGGACACTTACTCTACCCACTTATAACCTGACTAGAAACTATTACTCAGAGGATCTTTTCATCTAATGCACCAAGACTGGTATGACCTGCCAGAAGAGCTCCAACAGTTAAATGAGTTGTCTGCATTCAAGGCAGAACTAAAGACTTATCACTTTTGTCAGGCCTACCCAATTTTTAACGGTACATTTTAAATGTGCATTCTATTTGTATTTTAATATTGGTATTATGTTTTAATCCTTGCACTATGTGTGTGTGTTTGTGTGTGTGTGTGTGTGTGTGTGTGTGTGTGTGTGTATATATATATATATATGATAGATAGATAGATAGATACTGTGTTTTAAAGTATGTATTTTATGGAATTTATGGTGATGTGTTTTAAATGTGTTTTGCCCTCCTCAAGCTGTAAGAAGAGGTGGGTAATGTACTACTACTAATAATAATAATAATAATAATAATAATCCTCACTAAGTACACATTTGTGCTATTTGGTAAGATTTCAAACCAAAAGTGACATCTTGTGTCTCCAAAACCATGAAGACGATAATAAGGTATAGCTCTTTGTGCCATTCTGATAGAAGGAAATATTCCCAATTCAAGACAAGGTATCATCTTTTGCTACACATTTCCCTTTCTGACCTCAACAACTGTTTCCTGCAATGATCATGCAAGCTAGCCAATTTGAGGTTATCAAAGGGATGCAGTCAGCCATCTGGTCTGCCTAAAGCAGAGATAGTTTGCAGATGAAGTAAACAAGATTGAAAGAGTGTGTATTGATTTTCAGTTGATATAAAAACCAGAGCAAAGTTCAATTTTAGATATTTTCAAATGATGAAATAGCCAAAATTCTTTCCACCAACTGCATTTTTTTCATGGAAACTTCAGTGCTGTTGCATCCTTTGAAGCATTGACTTTCATGACAATTCTGGCAAGATGGCATATATTTTAAAATGGCATAAAATGAGAGCAGAAAGGAACCTCTCTCCACAAATTCAGGTGTACTACAAAAGAAATGGGTTTCTGTGGACATACCAACAGGAGCTGAATTACATTTTACTGCCCTGACAGGGGCAAGCCAAAATCCAGCTCTGTGAACCTAAGCCCAATCAATAGGCTTAAGAGCTCTTCACTTTGTTGAATTGTGGCCACAATACTGTCTTGTTTGGCATCTCTCAACAGCTAGGCCAGGAGCAGGCTGTCACAGGAAAACACTGTTTTGTAATCATAGTGAGGAAAAACTGAACCGTTCTCCTCTCAACAATCAATGTGTCTAAGTAAACACTAGGGAACAGCAACATCTGTTGCCTCCGCTCTGAGATCACACTGCCTGCATTGCAATTGCATCCGGATGGTTCACTTCCCAGTGTCAACTGCTTCCCATAAAGTCCTTTTAAAAGTAGTTTTTTATTTCAAAGCTGAGCCACAAAGATCTGAGGACTGGGGGTGATACTGGATCATCCAAGGAGGATGGTTTCCAGAATCACCCCTGCTCCAGATTCCTTTATTGGTCATCAGCTTCAGTCCAATTCCTGGCCTGTTTGCAGGAAGGCATTTCTCTTCCCACCTACCTCTTGCTGTACACCATTTGCCGGAAGCATGCTCCACAAAGGCAATAAAGCTGAATTTAATAGATGCAAGACACAGGAAAAACAAGAGACATTTTCTTTCATTCTGCAGACTTTCAATTAACTACCTGCTCTGGAACAAGCAAGTGACCAAGGCCTGGTGATAGCAGGCACAGTGATTCACACAAGGCACCTGAGCAGTCTCTGAACTTGTGGACCATGGACCTCTGTATGTCAGATCAGGGGCTGGCCACCAAGAAATAAAAGATCTTGTTTCTTGTGGCTGTCTTACTAGGAAGAATTTGGTTCTCCTCTTTGATCCAATCTCAGGAGATAGACAGAGATGATCCTTCTCCATGCAGCCAGTTTTTGCAAGGCAAGAGGGCTATTGAAGGAATCATTAGGAAAATGATGCTGTGACACCAGCATTCCCCAGGCACTTGTGAGTATACATATGCATGTACATATGCATGTTATAGAAGTTTTCTGTATCAAAAAAATAACATATATGGACAACTCTCATCCTACCAGCAGGTTTTAAAAAAAGTTTTATAAATGTTATTGTTGTGTGCCTTCAAGTCTATCCTGACTTGTGGCAACTGTTTAACAGGAGTTTCTTGGAAAGGTTTATGGAGAAATGTTCATTGACTTCTTCTGATACGAGAGGAGTAGCTAAAGAAGAAGGAGTATTCCCCTCCAATTAAGAATTATCTTCCCACTAACAACCATCAACAATGAATTTTTCTCAGTCCTCAAACTGCTGTCATTGGAAGGAGTTAAACACTGAAAATCATTTATACCTACAACTCCAACATTGGCTGTGATCACTTGCACTTGGTAACTTTGCCTTCTATATTTCTTTGGATGCCTAAATTCTTTCCAAATTAAATTTTAAGTACTAGTAACTGCAATATCAGAAATCTTGGTCTCAGGATTTAGAATTTCAAACGTCATTACTGTTATCTTGAAGACTGGCTTATAATTTTGGAAAATGTGACCATATAATCTAATGCTTAGGCTATCGCCATATGGTTCTAGTAAATACATCATATAAATCATTAAAAGGAGCAGATCTCTACTTCTTTGATGATGTTCAGCTAAGTTTTGGCATTACAGGGAAAAGTCCAACACTGGATCACCATTCCTGGCTCCTTCCAATCTTGGAGAAGGGGATGGATGTGTCAAGAGTGGGGAAACCAACAGGTTTCCTGCAATGCCTTCACATTCCGCAGTTCAACCCTTTAGGGATGCTACATTAAGAGGCCAGACATGCTTGACTTACGGCTTGGTCCATGAATCTTGATGGGTTTGTTGCTGATTAGTGAATGGGAACATGTTTGGCAAACACAGTCCTTCCCACTGAATGTAACTTTGTCTCCAATAGGAAATGGCTTCCTGAAAGAGAGAAACCAGGAGAAAATCATCGGTGTATACTTTCAAGCCACTATTACTTTCAAACGACATAAAGGGATCAATATGTTATTTATTTATTTATTTATTTATTTATTTACTTACTTACTTACCTACTTACTTACTTACTTAATTTCTACCCCACCTTTCCCAACCCTGGAGGGGACTTAAGGGGGTTAATCCAAATAGCAAACAGTCCAAGGCCAAACTGAGGAAGCCAACTGAAGTGAACAAACCAAAGGAAATAACACAAGGTGAGTCGATAGTCTGTTCCAAAATCCATTTTCAGTTATACCAGATTCCAAGGTTCACAAATCCTCAAATCACCAACAGTCTGAGGTCACAGCTCAAAAGTCTGAAGTTATTGCCAGCAACAAAATGCAACTTCTGCTCACCTTTTAAGCTATTTTCTTTGGTGTTCCCTATTGATAGCGTATCTTTCTGCTAACTGAGTGGACATCAAACTTAAGCCTTTTTCCTTCACAAGTCTAAAGAGCCAGAACGCTTAACCATTCCTCCACCAGCTCAAAGGAACTTGCCTGTACTTGAGTGCAGGCTGAGAAGTGGTAGCTTCCTTCAAAGACTCTTCTTCCAAGCTTGGTTGAAGAAGCTGCTGGGTACTACTGGGCTCCAACTCAAATGTTGACCCTTCAAACAGATCCTCCTCAGCCTCGCTATCAGAGCTAGCAGTACAGTATATGTACTCAAGGGGTTGGAGATGAAGTTTGCTTCATTTTTGGTAACTGAACAAATCGTGCTCAGTATCAATATTAGTTATTAACTTTGGGTGCCTGTATACTGTAGAAAATGCAATTTGACACCATTTTAACCATCATGGGATTCGAATGTGATTTTCCTGCTTCCTGGCAGAGGGTTGGACTGGATGGCCCACCAGGTCTCTTCAAACTCTATGATTCTATGCCTTAACTTTATGGAATCATGGAAGTTGTAGTTTTACAAAGGTATTCAACTTTCTTTGCCAAACGAGAGGTGGTGACTCCCTAGCCTGAAGAAGAGAAGGATGAGAGGAGATAGGATAGCCATGTATAAATATGTGAGAGGAAGCCACAGGGAGGAGGGAGAAAGCTTGTTTTCTGCTGCCCTGGAGACTAGGACGCAGAACAATGGCTTCAAACTACAAGAAAGAAGATTCCATCTGAACATTAGGAAGAACTTCCTGACTGTGAGAGCCGTTCAACAGTGGAACTCTCTGCCCCAGAGTGTGGTGGAGGTTCCTTCTTTGGAAGCCTTTAAACAGAGACTGGATGGCCATCTGTCAGGGGTGATTTGAATGCAATATTCCTGCTTCTTGGCAGGGGGTTGGACTGGATGGCCCATGTGGACTCTTCCAACTCTATGATTCTATGATTCTAAACTACAAATCCCAGGGCTCCACAGCATTGAACCATAACAATTATAGTGGCATCAAGCTTCATTAATTCTACAATGTGGATGCATCTTTTGTGGCTCTTTATCATGTTTCATCATGTTCATGGAAAATCAGTGCCTGCTTTCTAATCCTAAAGTCTTCTTAAAGACAGAAGAATGTCTCATATTGTTTGTGTACAATATTGACCTGTTGTGCACAAAATTACAAACAGGAAAATCACACCAATGGCAGAACAAACACACCCTGAGGCAACAACATGATCAAAGGGAAGGACAAGTACTATTGCACAAGGACCTTTGTAATTTCAGCAGTGGCTGCCAGGTTACATGACTAGATACATAAGTAAATGCAATGTGCTTAACACACACAAACACACCATGGATCACAAACCACACAGTGCAGTTATCTGCCTGTGGATACATGGTCTTGGCACATGCTTATATAATCAGTTTTATTCCTGTGAGAAGCCAACCATGGGAAGTTAGCTTCTTATGGCAGGATTCAAAATTTCTAGTGACAGCTCTGCTCCACATCTAATTAAATAGGAAAGAGACTGTAAAACTTAGGAGCAACTCATGAGAAACTGTGTGAAGATTACACTATATGAAGTATTCTTTAAGGATTTTTTTTTAGTACTCAGTAACAGACAGTTGACCACCCTAAAAAATTAACATCTTACCCACCATGCATTGAAGATCTGATCTGTGTTTTGAAAACAAAGATGGAGCTGTTCTAAAATTATTGCATTTGATGCTCTTAATATTTTCCCCATTATTTGTAGTTGCACATAGGAACTGAATAATGAAAAACCTATTTCCCCACCCTTGGATAGAGCTATTGATACCTATCTCAATAATCCTGAATCAAAACAGTTTATAATCAAAAAAAGATATGGTCATTGGGTAGATGCCAAGAGGTCAGAGTCTCATATGCTCCATAACCACACCAATGCCATTATTTTATGCCAATATGATTACTCATCTGTGGAAACAGATATTTAAGTTTAAGCTGGAAAGTGACTTACTGTCCTCAGTGAAAGACCTCTTCAGGCAGAATTGATTTCTTTGATCTCCTCAGAATTTTAACATGATCCTTAACTCCACCTTGTGCAACCTGCTCTGATGCCTCCATCTCATCCAGCATGCATTTTGATTCATGCTGAAATCTCATCATGGCTCAGCTATTGCCTCACAACCCTAGAATAACCAATAGTTGACTCACACATTACCAAAAGTATTTTAGGCTGGATCTACACTGTCCTATAATCCAGGGCCCATCCAGACAGGGTCAAAACGAGGGACTTGTCTGGGTTTTTGCCAGAGGTGTCCAAACGATGCCCCCTGTAAAAATGAATTAATTTGGAATAACCTCCAATATTCTGAATTAATTAAATACTCCATTAGATCTAGGCCTTCCCGAAAGGTATTGGGCCTGTGGAGACTCACTCTGGGTACTCCTGGTACTACCAGGGAGTGGGTCCCCATTTGCCATCTAATGCCAGGAGGGCATGAGAAGGAACATAATGGTGGCTGGGCAAGTTTTTAAAACTTTTTAGGGGTTCCTTTTGGGGGCTTTGGGGTGGTTGTATGCCATCCTGATAGCAAATTGGGATGGCATGTAGTCACACTCCCCAGGAAAGTCCAGGTTTTGCAGAGCTTGTGGGGACTTCAGTGTGGGATTAACTTCTGTCTGGAAGAACCCCCAGTTTCAGAATATGGATTAATTGCATTGATCTGGATTATATGGCAGTGTAGACTGATACTGGATTTTAGGGTAATGTAGATGCAGCATTAGTAGCTTCTACACCTTTCCTGGCAACCCTTGAAGGAAACAGATTGTCTGGGTATAGTCAATGACATAGTTGCACCGAACTAATATCAACACACCTTGGATCCTGGTGATAAATTGCACACAGTAGAAGAAACGAATGCCACAATAGAGCTATGTAGTTAAGCAGTCTATAGTAATGGTGTGGAAGCATGTGTATGTCTGCTACAGAGCCTATGGGGCTAATGTAAGACTAGACTTTTCTGTCACTCACTCACACTCATCTTTCATTTTAATGTTGCCCTAATGGACTCCTAAGGCTTTGACTGACAAAATAATAGACCTGTCCTACAGGAATACTTCTGAGATCAAGAGTAGCTCATAACTCACAATAGTGTCACTGTTCCCTTGAGATATTACTAATCCCCCTACTGCATTTGTAGGAACATCCATTCACAGTCAGCTAATGATCAGATTGTCAAACAAAATGGCACCAATATGACCAGAGTTTAACCCCATCTTTATTTGACATACTTTTAATTCTGCCAATGTGGCATATAAATAAATCAGTGGACTAATTGCTATGTATTGCTATGTATGTATGTATGTATGTATGTATGTATGTATGTATGTATGTACTTTTGTACTTTTGAAGCCACATTGGAGTTTATTTCCCATAATCCTTAATGGGAAAAGTTTACTCAACACAGAGACACTCCATTGAGAAACTGGTGAGGTTTTTTTTAGCTACTAAATGATAACAAAAAGACAATAAACCCTTCAAAGTCTTAGTGAAAGATGCTACTGTGAAGAATTAATATGTGTTGCCCTTTGTTAAGTGAAGCACAGAGATATAGAAAGCACAGAATGGCAGCAGTTTTCATCACAAATCCATTGCTTCCATTTTTCAAAAATCCATGCAAAAAGGAAGCTGATATAAAAAACATGATAATCTTGCCAAAAACATATTGCATGAAAATAATCTTCTAAATGAAAAGTAAAGATAGTCATAATTCTCCTAGTGGAAGAAAAAACTTCTGACACTGGAATGAAAAAAAACAAAAACAAATTGGATGCCTATAATTCAAGGACCTTTTACAGATGTTTACATTTATACTACAGTATAATTCTATGGATTCAATGTTAGTGGTTTCACTTATTCATGCTCCCCCAGGAACAATTGGCACCATGAGATGCAGAGCCAACCTTAAGAAATGGGGCCACAAAGTGGAGTCCAAGACATGCGGATGTGGAGAAGAGCAAACCACAGACCACCTATTACAATGCAGTCTGAGCCCTGCCACATGCACAATGGAGGACCTTCTTACAGCAACACCAGAGCCACTCCATAAAGTTTTGTGCTTTTTCTTTGTTAATTATTGCCAATTTGTCAATTTCTGCTATTCTACTTATTTTTTTTTGGAATTCAGTCTCTGACTTCTTCCAATATTGTGTATATAGCATCCGTGCTGCAATTATGTAGTGCAGTACTTTGTAGTTTAGTTATTTTGTGTGTTTATTTGGCATTCCCAATAAAAAATAGATCTCAAACTTGCCACACACACACACACACACATCATGACCAACTTTGAATACTGGTGATCTACTGTGGGCTTGGCCTCATGTAAGCCGCACCGAGTCCCTTGGGGAGATGGTAGCTGGGTACGCATACACAACATGACCAGTTTGAAGTACTGGGGGTGGGATTTGAGATCTGACCCATGAATTTGGGAGTTATAGTTCACCCAATCCTTAAGCATTTTCTAATGGGAGCATTCATAAAAAACCAAAAGGAAACAATGACTATTTCTTTTAGATAGCATTACAAAATATCTAATCTGAGCATCACCTGGTATATAAGCTTATATTTAACAAATATATTGGTCTATTGTTTCTTGAATTAGTTAATTCTTTTCCTTCTTCTGGTATAACTATGGCTGTTTCCTATGCATTCAGAATTTTACTTGATTCTAGAATTGAATTAATTAACTCCTGAATGAGCCTTATTACTTCATTTTTTAATTTCTTATGATAAATTGCTAAGAACCCATCTGGTTCTGGGGATTTATTTACTTTTGCTTTTTTACTAGTGATTTCTTTAACTGTAATTGGGTTATTCATATTTTCTTTTTGTTCATTTGTTAGTTTTAGATTAGAAATTTACTCTCCATCAAATAATTGTCAATCATTTCATGTTGAATCTGACTTGTCTTATAAAATTTTGAATAAAATTTGTAGAAAATCTTCAATATTGTTTCATTATCTGTAATTAAATCATATTTATCTTTGCTGAAATTAATTTTTATTATTCTTTTCCTAGTAGATGCTAACAATTTACCTAATTTGTTAGCTGATTCAAAAGTTCTCAAAGTCATTCTTTTCAGTTTTTTGTTGACTTCTGATATTAACATCAAAATTTGTGTCTATGGGATTTTAATTTTTGTGTAATTTTTAAATCGTTTGGATTTTTTTTTCAGTTCCTCTATTTGCTTTTGAATCTTTTCTGTAATCTTCTGATATAGTCCTTTTTATATAAAAATAGCCCCAAACTGTAATTTGGACCTGGCAGCTAGTGATGGTTCTTTTCTGCTCTGGTCATGAGCTGCTTATGATGTAGAACAGCCAGGCATTAAAATCTAGGAGCACGAACAGAGACCAGAGGGCCCAGCTTCAGGTATGTGATGAGTTGTGCTCTAATTCATTTCAGTTTTCTATGTATAATTAATGTTATGTGACCGTACACTTGCATGGTGAGATTTCTATATTTGAGGAAAAAAGTACAGTATTAAATATTCTGGGCTTTAAAACAAAAAAATCAGCAATAAACTGAATTCTAGATAAGCAACCAAACATAGAAAAAAATATATGAAAGTTAGTTCATACTCTTTAGAATTGAATACTGCTTTGACTAAGGATTAGATCCCAGAGAATTCACAGACTTTCCTGCATACAGTACTAAACTGGTTCACCCTGGGTTACCCTGCATTAAGGACCAGAGGTCCCTGGATGCTGTATAGACTTCTAAGGAGTGACCTCTAATCCAATTGGGTTTTAGGGCTCATGTAGACAAGCCCAAAATCTGCTGTGTTGAGACTGGTCCTTGATGTTAACCAATACTAGTACTTCAGTCTACATAGCACTATCAAACAATAAAAATCCATCCTAAGTGCCAGGACTGAATGCTGGCTGTCCTGGTTTCTCCCATGCCAGCACTGGATCTTCCCCAAGTACTTCAGGCATTTGGCTTGTGATACTTATTTATTAAAGTGTGAGCATGTTGTAGTTGTTGTTGTTGATGATGCTGTGTGCTTTCAAGTCCTTTCTGATTTACAGTGAACTTAGGAGAACATATCATAGAGGTTTTTTTAGGAAGATTTGTTCGGAGGGGACTTGTCTTTGCCTTCCTCTGAGGCTGAGAGAGTCACAGAACTCAAATGAGTCACCCACGGCCACCCAGTGGAATTGCCAAGATCAAGTAGACTCTGGCCTCCTTGAAGCAGGCAAATCACAATTATAGCAGAATGAGATTCTTTGCCCTGAACTTATCACAAGATGTCCCTTTTTTCCCATCGCTCTTCCAGTAGGAAACAGTCTGAAAGGAATTTCTTTTATAGCCAGATAATTCATTAATGATCTTCTTTTGTAAATAAAATGGCATCCCACTGGTAGAACAGCAGGATAAGTCTAACGCAAAGATGTTGTTGTCCTGCTGTAATTCCGATTTGCCCGGTTTGCCTGATAGACTCCATAGTCTGACACTTAAATCATTACATCATGCTGACACACATTACTGTAAGATATTAAAGCACATGAGGTATTTTGTTTGTGACTCCAAGCTTTTAATCTGTGAACCCATTACTGTCACACATTTAACTCACCTGCACATGCTGCACACAAAACACTTGGGGTGGTAGGTTCGGCCCAAGGCAGAGATAACCTCTCCAGTGATGAAATCTTGGCAGCTGTCACAGCGGGTGCCATAGAGCTGTTGATAGTCATGGGTACAAATATATTCCCCATTTTTAAAGAAGAAGCCAGACTGAGCTAAGTCACAGCCACACACTGGAGAGGAGGAAAAACAGAAGAGACAGAAGAGTCAATCTTTTAGCTAGCTTTGCAAAATGGTAATATTATTTTAGAGCATCTGCTCAAGATGCCACAGTAGAGATGGAGGGAAGGAAAGTGCAGTAAGGGCAGGGGTATGTTTTGGTCAAAGAGAAGATACCAAAACATTATATCGGGCAACAGATTATCAGCATTACCTCGCACTGTTTTATACTTTATATAGTCCTCATGGTTACCACAGCTGCATTGCTTTTTCTCATGGTCAGATTATGGAAAGTAACTGTGCATCCAAACATGTACGTGTCAAAGAGACCCAACTACCATCCTACTACATAAAGATGTAGTTGTCTCCTCTTCGCTGGCCCCTTCGCTGTTTCCAGTCCCAACCGAAATTGCAGACAATTAACCTTAAAACCTTGATAGACTTAGGTATCAAAAGAACGGTTTCCTATTAAATCAGCATTCTTGCTCTCTGAGATGATGTGGAGAGGCCTTCCATATAGAATCTTGCCAAAATTAAGTTTGAATGGATGGTTCTGTACCATAAGTTCCTTTCTGTTGCAATATCTAGGCTTTTTCCTGTCTTGCCTCAGGAAATCAATTTGACTGTTTCCACAAGAGCTCTTTAATTAAGACCTATGACTTTTCTCTCTCTTGAGTGCATTCAGCCACTTGGGTGTTTGATTTTTGTTGGTATTCACACTGCTATTTGAAGTATAGCATCAGAAACCTTTTTGTTTTCCAGTTTTATAATGTAAATCTTAAGTTTTCTATTTTTCCAAGTTTTCTACAACCTTCATGTTGCAGATTGTTTCCCAGGAATAACTCTGTTATGATTGTTGTTGTTAAAAACTCTCAAGATAGCTTCAACTTATGACATTATGAATGAGAGACATCCTACACTAAACAGCCCAGCACATGTCTTGCAAACCAAAGGATGTGGCCTCCTTGATTAGCTGTGCCTACTCCAATATAGTCTTCCTCTTTCTGCCTGTCTTCCACTGTCCTGAGCACTATTGTCTTTTCTGCATATCATGTGGTTTCAGGATACGTCATAAAGTATGGCAGCATCAGTTCAGTCATTTTGTTTTCTAGGGAGAGTTTAAACTTGATCTGTTCTTGGATGCATTTCTTTGTCTTTCTGGATATATATAAGTGTGTGGTATCCATCAACTCATTCTGTTATCCTAATTCCTCAGCATAGGGTGAGCAGCAGCTGACCATTATGGTGAAGTAGCTCTGTCCTTTTTGTTAGAACTGTGTTAGCCCATTAACACTCACAAGCCATCACTAGATACTGCTAAAAATAATTGGCAGTGGGGCAGTGAATTTGTTCAGGCTTTTAGTTCAAACCTTAAAGGAATTATCCAAAGCACTAAACCTATATTTGGAAGATACTGTTCAGCACATTTGATCATTTGCTAGAAGTTTAAACCAAATCTCAGGACAAATTCACCGCTCCACTGATACAGAAGCCAACAGTTGCCACAGCATACAAGTCCCTGAACTATCCTTGGTTCTTTTTGTCATTATTGTCTGATTCTAAGTCTCTGAACTTGGCATTATATTTTTCCTTGGACAGTTAGTAAGTTTTTCTTCTGTTTAATCAGATCTACCCATTTAAAAAAAACCTTGAAAGGTGAGAGTCCTTCTTTTAATCCCACAAGATGTCACTGTTGGGTTGTTGGGAAGACGTATCAAAATACAACAGGAGAGTTTTGGAAGGTTAGGAGCCTACTAAAAGAAAGCTTGGCCACTGCTTGTGGGAATTGTTTATGAGCCTCAATGCCTGACAGATATAGGCTGTGCCCTCTCTGACTGAGTATTAGCAGGAAACAAGAAACTACCTGGGCAGCTTGGGAGAGGAGGGCCTGACCTCCATTCAAGTAGCCCTTGAATTATACCAATGCCTGCTTCCCAGGCTGCTGCTGCTACTGAAGTGTATCATTAGTGGTTTCTGCAGCCATGAAGGAGAATGACACTACATGCAGTAGGTTCCCTTCCTTCCAATATGCCTGTGCCTAAACTATCCTGGTGAGGAAACTGACAGCAACTTGTAATGAGGGTGACAAATGGCTTACTTACCAGATTCACACTTACAGGCCTGGGGAAAGAGGTGAAGTTTGAATGGACATTTTAAAATTCATTTTCACTTTGGAGATGCATTTCTTGACTAAAGTATGATAGCTGGGACCCAATGCCAAGACAGCGCAGTGAATGAGAGACACAGGTGCGACAGAGTCATGGCAAGATAGTTCACCAGAAAGGGGGCCAGAAAGCGGGGACAACAAACAGCCAAGCATAGTGCTTAAGGTAATCAGGATATCGTATTTATTTATATTTATTTCACAGTTTTCTATACCGAGCTTCTCAACCTCATTGAGGGACTCAGCCCGGTTTCCAGCCATAAAAAACACATACACTCATTAAAATATCATATATCACAATTACAAAAACAACTTTAAAAACACTATATATAAAACTACAGTGGTCAGTCGTCCTATTAAGATGGATCTACATCAACTTCCATCGAGGGTCCTATGGTGTTGTCTCATTCATCGAAGGCCTGACTCCACAGCCACGTCTTCACCTCGTAAGCAAACATGATCAAATACGTAACATCTTCGCTTCTCTAATTTTGATCCACATCGTGCAACCAGCATTGGGTCCCAGCTATCATACTTTTGCCCATTTCTCTAAGTGGTCCACTTACTAGGTTATAATGTGACTGGGCAAGGTGATCTGGGGCCCCTTCACACTACAAAATTATAGTGAGGGTTGCAAGATTGGAAACTGGAAAGGGCTCCTGTACTTTTAATAACTGCGTGAAAGAGTAATTTCAAGCAGGGGCTGCTTGTTGCACAACCAGGTAACAAGCAACAGCTGGTGGAATATTTTCAACTGTATAATGATTAAAGGTACAGGAGCCGTCTCCAATTTACACTCTGACAACTCTAGTTATAGTGCTGTTATTCCACTTTTACTGCCATGGCAATGTGTTATGGACTCCTGGGTTTTGTAGTTTGGTCAGAGATATTCAAGAAGCTTTGTTGTTGAGAATTCTAAAGCTCACTCCCCCTAAACTTCAAAACCCCATGATTCTATAGAACACAGTCATAGTATTTAAAAAGAAATTATAGCACTGGATGTTTGCTTCAGAAAAGACGAGAAGTTACAACTCTGGTGGCTGACTATAGCTTTGAATACTGTAACTAGGGAAAGTAGCAGTTAATTGGATTTTAATGTCAAGGCCTTTTTTGTACAGTTGATTTTCAGAGTGAAGGAAGGTCACATGGATAGGTAGTCATGGTTTTTTGTCCAGGTTGTATGACAGACTGTGGACCTCATTGGTAATAACTCTCATACAAGATCTGTAGGAGGAAACAAGGGGAGGACCACAAGAGTCTTGACAGTGGATGTTATGCAACGTTAGGTGCACCTCCACTTATAGAATTGTGGATCTAGAAAAAAGAGAAAATGTGAAAGTAAAACTGGGCATGTACATACATACAGCTTGGAGCAAAGAGCTGAAGGAGTGAGGGGTTATGAATGAAGTATTGGGAGCTTGGATTTCCATTTTTCTTTGAAAGCAAATGCAAAATAGCTGCTACAGGTGTAGGCCTTTGATTGTGCCTACACCTGATCGTGCTGGGGATTCTGAGTCTGCAAGTCAGCAGGAGAGCCAGCTAGAGCAGGGGTCCACAAACTTTTTAAACAAAGGGCCAGGTCACAGTCCCTCAAACTGTTGGAGGGCCGGATTATAATTTGAAAAAAACATAAATGAATTCCTATGCACACTGCACATATCTAATTTGCAATGCAAAAAAAAACACTTTAAAAATACAATAATTAAAATGAATAACAATTTTGACAAATATAAACTTATTGGTATTTCAATGGGAAGTGTGGGCCTGCTTTTGGCTGATGAGATAGGATTGTTGTTGTTGTGTGCTTTCAAATAATTTCAGACTTAGGTTGACCCTGAGTGAGGGCCGGGTAAATGAGCTTGGAGGGCCGCATCCAGCCCCTGGGCCTTAGTTTGAGGACCCCTGAGCTAGAGATTTGAAGCCCTGAAAATGAGAAGTCTGTGTCTGAAGGCCACATTTCTGAAAGGCAGTTCATAAGAATAGATCTGAGCTCAGATGATGAAAATGGAAGTCCACGTGGACAGACTTATGAGCAGTTAGATAGGAGATTTACGTTCTGTCATCATAAAGCTTCCCAGGAGAGTTTACAAAGGTCAAGACGCCTATTAGCCTAGAAGGCCTTATCAGTTTCCCAGGGGAAAAGTCATGATTTCCTCTCTAAATTAGCTAGCCCAGTAGATGGGTCTGTCAGTTCAGGCAACGATGGTGTTTTAGTATAGATCTATTGTCAAGTCAAGGGATTTCTAATTCCATGTTTCCTTTTGTTCAGGTCTCATGATTCCAAGTTTTGAGGACTGTTCCTGAATCTCATGTTTTGGTTAATTCTGCTTTTGTATTCCTGGTTTTTGATGCTACTCCTGTACTTTGATTTTTGTGGGTTATTCCTGATATTTGGACTTTGGTTTCTTATACTATTTTGCTGAATTGCTTTTTATATATATTCTTCAATAAACTGCTTTGCTATTTTACCTTGGACTGGAGTGTGTGTTAAGTACAGAGGTGGTTCCCAGCCTTGGAGTGCAACACATTCTCCCATGGTAGTTCTACATTTCTTTAGAAACTGGAGATAGTCTGTGCTCTTCTTCTAGCAGAACAAAACACCAGGGGGCTGGAGACTGACAAGTGAACATGAGAAGATATAAGCTATGATGATATGATGGTGATGGTGATGGTGATGTATACACTTCCAATTATAGTGTTTTGCACTGGATTGCCAAGATGAAAACCAGTTCTGCAAGCTGGACTTCAACTTTGCCCCATATCAAGCAAGGAAAGATGAAAATGGGGAAAATGGGAAAATAAGAGAGTTGTAAAGTGTAAATGTCAGGGTTGTGTGACCTGTGGATCCTAAATGCCTGTAGATAACTAAATCTGTAAATTGTAATATGTAAGAAATCTATCTAGACCATTGATCTCTATGTTGATTAGTCCATGGAGACTAGTATATCACAGCTACACTGCCACCATGTTAGCATAGTTGCAGTAAGATGTCTCCATGATAAATTCCTCTTTCCATTTAAGTGCTTCATGTTCCATCATATGATTTCTCCCCAGGGGAATATTTTGAAGCACATATTCTATGTATAGGACACATACATAGAGTGTGGGTCCATTTAAGCTTTTGTAAACCATTACCAATCATGTCCCAAACCCTTGGTGTGCAGAGTGAGTTTAGATTAAAAACCTATAGTTGGACAAAATGTCCAAATAATGCTCCAAATTTTGGCATGAACAATGGGACACACTCAACCTTCACAATCCCCTTTAAAGCTGACAATTTATCTGGGTTGTGAAATGAAAAGTAGAGTAGAAAAAGTAGAAAAGTGAGTCCCCCTTTGGGGGAGAAGGACGGGGTATAAATATAGGACATAAATAAATAAACAAACAGTAAAGATATAAAATGTTTTGGACCCAAGTGGATAATGCCTTTCTTTTTTCTTATTTATTACAAAAATAAAAACTATATTCTCAAAGTAATTAATACCACAACAAATTATAGTTTTAATGTTATTTGCTGTGCATTATTGTTAGTCTTGATTGTTTGTTTTTGCAGTGAATTCTGGATTAACACACAACCCCAATAATTAAAAAAGAAGAGAAGAAAGAGCTGAAGGGGGCAAGGGTCACATTTTCTCCCAGAGTTTGAAACATTAAGTGTGAATTGTTCCTTTGGCTTGTCCTTTTTATTCAGTCTACACCTCCCACAGATCCACTATGACATTATGTCAAGCTTGGTTACGTAAGAGCCACATATGATAAACTTCATGTTTTAGGGCCACAAGAAATAAACAAATATTACACATTATTATTGTTATATGAAAAATTGCTATAAAAATCATTATGAATATTAAGAAATACATGTCCATAACAGTATTTATCAATGTATGTGGTTTAAACTGTTTCTTTATATTCATTTAAAAATCATAAAGTCCACACGCACACATATACACACCAAATATTGTCAAAATTCTGATTGATTAGTATGGTAACTATATTGAGCATATTTAAAATAGTATTGATCTACAAAAACATCAAATAACATTTATTAACATTAAATGAAATTGCCAAAGATACAAAATAAGAAGTAAAGCTAGGTATTTAAAATTACATGTGTGTGTCTTTGCATATATCTGGTCAAAACAAGGAAAATATGTCTAATTCAAATCCAGCACTAAAAATAGAATTTAGATTCTTAAATACATTTACTCTCCATTAACACCAAATTTACATCTTAATCCAATGGGCTCTCATTTTATCCTGGGTAAATAATGATAAAGTCTTGCATTTTTAAAATTACCTTTCATGTGAATTGTAATATGCAAAGAAGGCCATCCAGCATTGTTCTGTGCGCCACACATTATATGTCAAAGAGTCTGTTCTGTCTTGATAGACACAGTTTGGCCACCCCTGCACTATGAATTCCACCTGTTTTATTAGAATAATAATATTCCTGTACCAAGTCATGAAGACTTATTAAGAACTAACACATAGTTAAATCTTTATTTTTACTATAGACCAGCATTTATCAGTTCCAATATACCATCTAATCTACTCTTAATAAGAATTACGATGTTGCCATTTTAAGTGACTTCTGCTACTCTTTCCACTGTTGGTTGACTCACAGGAACAACATCTGACCTACAGCATTCAAGAGAGTTTGCCAACTCTCTCTTCTGCCTCTTTGGCTTTCCTCTCATTCCTGTGGCTTCCTCATTGTCACCTGCAGTGATGATCATGTCCTGAGACTGTGTTGCATTTTCCAGATAATCAAATGTCGTGAATTACTTAAGCTTGTCCCTACCCTGACAGGGGTGGAAGGATGGATGGGGTGGAGCAGACCATGAGATGCCATAAAAGCCAATGGCCCAGAAGAGACATGAAAAGGCTTCTTAATATACTTGTAGAAACAGCTGGTCCTGTGAAGGGGTTGTAACCAGATCTATAAATTGTACAGTGTAAATTACCAGAGCTTGGTACGGCTTTCTATTCATTCCCACTCCAGCTGTTTTTCACTTAGGAGTGAATGAGAGTTTTATACTCTGTGCAACCCTTCACTGTGTCTTTCATCAAAGTACGCAACAGCTTGCACGGCAGGCCTGTCATTTAAATGCTATATGTTCATGCAAGCAAACAGAAATGAGAGATTGTGTCTCTGCCAGAGTGCTTATGCTCCCTATTTATTATGGTTTTACATTACTTTAAGAGTCATGGTTTCTTTGTAAGAATCCTGGGAATTATAGTTGGATGAAAATTCTGATAATTTGTTCAAGATCCTTCTGTTGCTCATCAGAACTACAGCTCACACGGACAGATGTTATAGATTTTTGTCTATACCATTTTGGCCAATGGTATGTCTCAGAGCAGTGGTTCTCAACCTGTGGTCCCCAGGTGTTTTGGCCTACAACTCCCAGAAATCTCAGCCAGTGTACCAGCTGTTAGGATTTTTGGAAGCTGAAGGCCAAAACATCTGAGGATCCACAGGTTGAGAACCACTGTCTTAGAGGAACAGGAAAGAAGGTACAATGAACTTTTGTGCCTTTCTTCAGCACGACAGTTGCAGCCCTCCACTCCCCCTAAAAAAAATACCTTGGCAGGTGAAGCATCTAATGTGGAAGTGATTGCTCTGGACACGTACCACCTCCCCTTTGCAGGTATCTCCACAGCGATAACACTGGATTATGGTGGGACGACCTCCGGAGTTGTACGGGTTTTGTTGAAAAGGAACTGCTGGCAAAAAAGAAAGGTTCCGTTTGTAAGGATGGCAGAGAAGAATTCTAACAGTAAGCTGAGCAACATCCATTAACTAATTTCCTTCTTGGCAAAGGAGCTCTTCCCGGTCTGGCACCCTCCAGATGCACTGGACTACAAACTAGCATCCCAGGCTGACAAAGTTTTAGCTAATTAATTAATTCCTGTTTTTAATCACTTTGATTCTGGGATTGATGTTTTACTAGATTTTATATTAATATATTACTTTTGTACAACCTGAAATTCACCTTTGTAATTGAGAAAAGGTATAAACTTTTTTTTAAGTTAAGAGTAACAATGACTGACTGTCCTTCTTATGTGTCCATATTCTGGACTAACAATCAGAATTTGAAAATGTTACTTTTTAAAATTACAACTCTCAGAATCTCCTAATCAGCATGATGCATGACCACACTGGCTGGGAGGTTCTGGAAACTAGAGTCCGAAAAGTAACTTTCTCAAACTCTGATAACACCTATTGATAGCATATTTCTAGTTTTTGTCACCTCCTGCTGAAGGATTGGTTGGGAAAGGTGTCTTCCTAAGGCAAAGAGAAACTAATTCCAAGTGAAGTAGACCAGAGATGTGAAAACACTTTGCCCTCAGATGATGCTGAATTACCACCAGGCCTAGCTACCATGGGCAATGATGGGCAATCCATGATGGGATTAATAGTTAATCAACATGAGGGCTGAAGTCTTCCTATTGAAATAGACACTAACGTGCTAGAATCTGGCTAGAAGGCCCCACTCCCTAACTTGGTGCAAGGCAGTTTTGTGTAACTACACTTAACCTCTTAATCCTCAGCCTTTAAATATCACCAAGACAAGATACATGCATCACTTACAAAATAAAGTCTTCCTTTCTATATGTTCATTAGTCCAAAAATCAAGCACACAGTAAAAAGATACTGAAAGGGTGTGTCTTTTCAGTCATTCCTTCCTAAACCTCTAAATCCATTTGTTCATAAACAGACATGTGTAAAACTTCCAATATCATCTGAGGCAAAATCTACACTGTCATATAATGCAATCTGGAATTGCATTATATGGCCAGCGGAGATCCATATAATGCACTTTAACTGCATTATATGAATCTACACTGACCATATAATGCAGTTCCAAACTACTCAAGGCATTTCCATCTCTCCCTCTATCTGTCCCCACTCTTCTTCTCCAACCTAATGCACAGACACTGCTGCTTGAGAAAAGGAAAACAAAAACTTAAGATGGAATCGTTCTTGGTGCGCTTTGCTTTTCCAAAGAGAACTAGAGGTCTCCAAGGCATTCTCACATCTGAATTGAAGGTCATATTTGTCAGGGTTAGTTTGACTAGACTGTGAGAATTCCCCAGGGAAGTGTCGGATGTATGAGCCCTTTCAAAAGAGGTAGTAGATTACGAGAGCCCTAGGAGAATTCCTTGAGAGAGATAAGGGTTTTCTAACCCCTTTGAGTCTTTTGAGTATGTTTGCAGTGGAAACATCATTTTTTCCCTCTCTCCTTGAAGCTTGTTCAGCAAACGATCTATTCTGCAGACCACTGGGAACCTATCACGATGACCCCCCTCAAAGGCATGTTTTCATGCTGTGCTGATATAAAAGACTATACAGCGTCTGTAGCACTGTAGTCATGTAATGAAAGGGGAGAATAATCAAGTTGCTTGGGGATTGCTCTGCCACGGACAGATAGCAGGCAAGCAGCTTTAGAAATCCCATAAGCACAATCTAGGTGACTTCAGATGGACAGCCCCTCAGTGCTCCACCAATCAGAAAAGTATTGTACAGCTGTTCTCTCCTTGTCTTTGCATGCTATGAGAAAATATGGCATAAACAATGGGGAAATATGGGAAGGTTGAAAAGAAAAACAGCAGAATCAGGATTCCTTTTGCAATGCCTTGTTGCCGCTCAATGAGATGTGCATCCCTATTTTAGATCTACTAACAACAACAAAAAGGGACAATTGCATCTGGGAAAATTGTTTTGTGCCATGGATCATCAATAACATTATAGGCATTAGCCAACAGAAACTGCTAACAGCATACACTACATACCTCTCAGGAATTCCAACAGAAATGCTTTTTTTTGGGGGGGGGGGGGACACAGCTGCCTGACATTATGATCGTCTCCCATGACCAATCTATGGTGCAAAGGGAAGAAAAGGGGCATCTGTCACATCTCCCCCTCCTGGAGATTACTGACATGAGTGGTGGGGTAGAAACATCAGGCAGCTGCTTTCTGATCAACAGGGGAACAGACCCCTGTCAAATGCAGTCACTGTTTTCCAGTTAGTGGGGTTTATGGGACTTTCACACTTCCTAAGTAGCCCCTAAACTAGAAACCGTATAAAGATTGTGAATATGTTCTAGTTGCAAATGTGTAATTTTAGGTTACATACTCGAAACTGCCCAACAGGATTCTGGCCCCTCTCCATTTGTTCACCCACATATTAAATACCCTCTCATCTCCTTGTCTCTTTATGGCTGAAATATAGATTGGGAATCTCTTGGAGAAGGAATCTATAAAGCTTTGCACACTCTATCCATGAGCTGCATGGAAAGTACTGCAACACAGATGATAGACCAGGGGTCCCCAAACTAAGGTCTGGGGGTCGAATATGGCCCTCCAAGGTCTTGTAAGCCGCTCCGAGCCCCAGGGGAGTGGCGGCATATAAGTTCGAATAATAAATAAATAAATAAATATATCCAGCCCTCGCTCAAGGTCAACCTAAGTTTGAAATGACTTGAAAGCACACAACAACAACAACAACAATCCTATCTCATCAGCCAAAATCAGGCCCACGTTTCCCATTGAAATACTAATAAGTTTATATTTGTTAAAATTGTTCTTCATTTTAATTATTGTATTGTTTTTAAGTGTTTTTAAAAGATATTTTAAAACACATAAGATATTTAGAGTGTGCATAGGAATTCATTCATGGGTTTTTTTCTCAAATTATAATCTTCCCCTCTAAAAGTTTGAGGTACTATGGTCTGGTACTCCGTTTAAAAAGTGTGAGGGCCCCTGTGATAGACAGTCAAACAACTAGGTAAGAGATACAAAAATCTTACAGTCCAAATTTTGTCAAAATGTTCTAAATTTCATCATCATTTTATTCCTGTCTTTATTTCATCTTCACTTTTGAGACGCTTTAAACCAATAAGATTTTCTCCCTGTTCTTTCCAGTTTTAATTTTGAGATCCATACATCTTTTTATCCCAAAATATTTTCTGTCGGTTGCTGGGATATCAGGATCATTTTATTTTAATCCAGTATAATACTGGAAAAGACTGTGACAAAATATGGTGCTTTTCAATCATTCTTGAATACTCCTTTTGTATTTTCTTTCCACACTAAACTTTAAATCATTTTTCTACTCCACAGTTGCTTGCACATTCTTTGCATTGCATGTCATTTCTCTACATTTACTAGAGTGCACAGGATTTCATTTACCATAGTGTGTTTCTCCATATTTTTTAGTTACTCATTTTAGCTGATTGCGCTTTAAAATATATTGTTATGTGTAAGCTTCATTTCACAGAAACAGCATTTAAGCTTACATACAGCAACTCTCAGGAAGTGCAAAAATATTACTTCTGATAAAGTCTGGGAAGTTCAATGAAATTTCCCTCCATCATTAAGGCAGACATACAGACAGAAAGACCTATAAAAGGCATGTTGGATAGGATTTCAGGGTGACTGAAGTGTAGCGGTAAACCTCCCATGCTTGCTTTCTGCATTGAGAACAAAGAATGAGCCAGACATAGGCAGCATCGGAGTCTTTTGTGAACAAGGATGCGGGTTTGAGCCAAGAAATTAATCAAACATTCATACCTTATAGATAGATAGATAGATAGATAGATAGATAGATAGATAGATAGATAGGATGATTTATCCACCAATTATTATGGGATCCTTGTCTCTAGGGAGAAACTTCCTAGTGTCCATAGCAACCTGCCATCAAGCTGGTGAGCTCAGTGTCTGATGGGAAATGAACAGAATAAGGAAAGGTATGGGGTGGGATGTATGTGAATCTCATGGGCAGGAGACATAAATGAAATGGTGGGATGGAGGAAATTAACTTTGAACATGTTTTAATGGTTTTTAACTGGGATTTTTAAAATACTGTTTATATTTAATCCTGTTGTAATGTTTTTGTATGTATATATTTTAAATTGTATACTGATGTTTTTATGTTAAGCTGCTTTGACTCTCCTGCAGGAGAGATAAAGCAAGCTATAAATAATAATAATAATAATAATAATAATAATAATAATAATAATAATAAGTCTATGATTCCTATCTCAAAAAACAAGTAGCCGTTCTTCAGAGCAAACCCAGTAAGATCAGGTACAGCCTAATGAACTGGACTTTCCACATTCTGTCTGTCTGTACAGCATTAAATGTCCTTCCCAAGTTCAGGATTACTGCCTGGCCCCTGATGGAATTTCCCTCCATATACCCAGTTTGCAATGGCCTCTTCTGTTTGCAACTGTTTTCCAGAAAGCTTTCTATTTCCTCTTGCTCCGACATAGGAGCATCACACATTGCATTACCCCTTTACAGAGGAACAGCCGATCAGGGCAAAGCTCATTATGTCTGAATAATCCAGTAATAATGTAAGTAGCATTAAGAAACTTATGCAGCAATCAGGAAAGGAAAGGAGGTGGGCGGCATGGAAGGAGGAGGGAAAACCAAGTGGAATGCCTTAATCTCACACTGGTTAACTCCTGCCTGAAACAGACGGTGCTTACTTAGCAAGAAATTAAAGCCAAGTTCATCTCATCATAGTTAATGCATTTGCGTATGATCTATAAGAATGCAAAAGGCTGAGTGGGCTACAGTTCTCCTACATGTTGGAGAACTGGGAATATGGGGCATGGAGGAAGCAAAGAGTGGCCCAAGTAGAACTCCCAGGGGTATTTCAGTAGCTTTAATCCCAAACAAACTCCACTTCTGGAAGTCTCCAAGACTTAAAATT